TTTGTATTTCGATAATTTCTTTGGAACTTATTCCCCTTCTTTAATGGACCCAATCTCTCAAATATAGAAGGCCCGTTAGAAGTGGCAGATTCGTCTTCTACAGTGATATAATTGCTGCTCGCCCTTCTTATGGAGATGCGCACTGGTGACGGTTGCTTGTATCCCAAACCTTCACGTGGTTTCCTCGTCGCATCTTCTGATGGGAGCTTCCCTAACTTTGACAACTCATTAGGACTGTATCCAGCTTTTGCAAATAGCCTATAAGCATTAGGATCAAAACCTTCATTTGTTCGCTTTGTAGGGAGTGCCACATTCTGCAAACGATTTTGGGCTACAAACCCTGCAAGTGTCTTTGAGGACAACTTTACTGCCTCAATTTATTTTACCGGAAGAGTTAACTCCTTTAGCATGTTAGTTTGGAGATTAGATGATTTGCCTTCATCTTTTTTTCTTTTAGGGACATATTGGAGTGCAGGACTTACTTTCTTGCCATAAGATGCAATATCCCCTCTATGAGATTTATTTGCGTTGGGTTGTACCTCCTCAGTAACAGTTTGGCTCTACCAGCAATCACCTCAGCACTTTTAGTTGTGGGCTCGTCATTCTTGCTTTTCATGCCATCATCAGCTTTTAGGTCCTTCACAATACGGTTCTTCAAGTAGAACTTTGCATCGGCGAAGTGTGACTCAGCCTCGGTGAATGGCTCATCATCAGCAACTATCTTCTTCTCGACTTCACCTTCGTAGTACTTCAAACATTGATGGTAGGTAGATGGAACCATTTTATTCTTATTTATCCAAGGCCTTCCGAGCAAGATGTTGTATGAAGTCTTTGCATTGATCACATGTAGCCATGCACTTGATTGCATATCTTCAATAGTGATTCCCAACCTGATTGCACCTATGGCTCTTTTCCCCCCTTGTTTGAATCCTTGGATCATCACATGACTTTCCGAGAGTTCAATCATGGGAATACCAAGTTCTTTCACAGTACGAATTGGCAAGATATTCACTGAGGATCCTCCATCAACCAAAATTCAATTTACCCTTTCATCACGCATATAGCCAACCAGGTACAATGGGCGGTTATGAAGAGTGTTACCTAGCAGAAGATCGTCATTTGTGAATGTGACTTTTTCCTCACAAGCATTAACTTCTTGAGGAGTGGAATCGATGAGATTTTCTGAATATGGTGCCAACGGAAGGACATCACTCTTTTCTTTTCCTTCGTCAGCATGGCAACAAGAGGCATCGATACCCCTTATGGGAAATCTTCATGCGGAACCAACTTGGTAAAAACTCCTCCAAGGTCACTGGATTTTTTGGCTTTTGAGAGTGGTGCACCTCCACTTTTGCTTTCTTTAAGTGCTTAACTGGATTCCATCTCCTTGGTCTTTTACCATCATTTTCCTTGTTGGTTGTTCTACTAATTCTTTTCGTGGGCTTCTTCTGTGGTGCCTTCGACGAGTCACTAACGTCCAACCTTCATCATCATCAGGTTGATTGACTTTAGCTTTGTCGTTCTCCAGTAATTCTTTATCTTTACTTTCTTTAAAACCACATAATTCATCCAGACTGAATGAGCCAGAGGTGATAGAGACTTGGTTTGCGCTTGCTTTCTCATCTTCAATAACGATCTTCTTTTCGCGAGCCAAGTCCATAACTTTGTCCATTAAGACAAATCACTTCTCCAGAGGGTGGCTCACAAGTCAATGGTATTGCAGTAATTTGGGTCATTTATTTTCCCAGCTTCATTTGGTCGCTTCATCTCCGGAAGCTCAATGAGATTTAACTCGAGGAGTTCTTCAAAAATAGCTGGCACATCAGAATCTAGAAATGGGTACTCTTTCTCTTGCATTTCTTTTAGAGTCAACTTTTACTTGGCTTATCTTGAAAAGAAGTGGATTTCATACTCTGCTTCTTGCTCACCTTTGTCGTGAACTTTACAGGTGATGTATTGACATTCATAGCTTCTTTGCTTTCAAGCTTGGGTACGAACTTGCCCCACTTCCTCACTTCTTGCTTGTCGTTCCCCTTGCGAGGTTCATAGATGGGCAGTTTTCATTTTCAGCAGAGGCCATGCTCAATTCCATGTCATGGGCACGAGTTGCAAGTTCTTCAAATGTGCTAGGCTTGATACCTTGCAAGATGTAGCGCAATCCCCAATGCATGCCTTGGATGCACATCTCTATGACCGAAGCTTCACTAAACATGTCTTTGCAGTTGAGGCTTACATTTGTCCAATGATTGATAAAGTCGATAACTAGTTTACCCTTTCGTTGACGAGTATTTATAAGTTCTATCATACTCACAGTACGTCTCGTGCTATAAAATCGATTGAGGAATTCTTGCTCTAGTTGATCCCAGCTATCAACAAATCTAGCCTCGAGGTCCGTGTACCAATCAAAAGTATTTCTTTTTAATGAGCGGACAAACTGCTTGACGAGGTAATCTCACAGTACGTCTCGTGCTATAACTGCTTTCCTTTCATATTTGTTTTTTATCGTCCCTTCAATGAACTTCTTTAGTTTATTGATTGGAATCATTCCTTCCAAAGAGACTGAAATTTCCTTAGTGGATGCAACTTGTCGTGGGGGAGGATCAATCTTTTGAACTTCTGGGAGTTTTCCAGGTGCATGGGTGGATTCTTCTTCCATCAATATTCCCACCATATCTGTTAGCTTGTCGATTCTAGCATCTTGATTTTGCATGCACTTGGTCAAGCTAGCGATTGCTTCCGTCAAGTTTGCCAACTGCTCCTCCACAGATGAAGTGTTTGTCACCATGGCTTGCATGATTGTCGTGGATGATGGAGAGTAGCATGGATTTTCACACAGATTGATCCTTGATTGGCTCACACTATGTGGTGTAAGTGGGGAGGATCCATCACTTGAAGCATCATCATCTTCCTTCACAGCAGAGTGCTTGGATCTGGAGAGGTCAAGCAGAGCAAGAGTTTTATTGATCTTTTGAGCAACACCGCTTCCTCCTTCAGGTGCGTTTGTGAAAGATCTTGCTCCTTTTGAGGATGAAGATCCGAAAATAGGGGTTGACGCAGACGGCACTTGGGGTGACTGTTGTCCTAACGAGCTTGCTTTGCTCCTCGTAACCGGTCCAAAGCTTTCAAAGGTAACATCGAGGATGCTTTCCACATCAGCATAGAACCTGAAATTAGCAGCTTTGGTTGAAGTTGAACTGGAGTTGATTTTCTTTGAAGCCATTTCAATGTTCTTGAACTTTGATGATTGAAATGTTGAGATGAGAGGTAGAGATTGTCCCACTGGGCATGTCAGAATTTGTAGACAATAAATTTGTGTCAGAAAAATAATCGAGACTGAAAAATATTGCAACAATTGTAGTATTTTATTTCAAATATTTGATTGTTATAATCTCTATTGTTAATCTGATTCTTCTTTTCAATAGTAAATAAATTCAAGGGCCTTTGAGCTTGATCTTGAATATGTACTTGTTGCCACGAACGATGATCTTGTTCTTGAGCTTGAGCTTGATTGCTCGATCTTGACCTTGATTTGTTCTTCGTTCTTAAGCTTGAACTTGATTTCTTGAACTTGAACTTGATTGCTTAAAGCTTAAAACTTGTAGAGAAATTTGCGGCGTTTGATCCACGAGCTCTCTCTTGCTTCTTGTTATAACTTTTGGTGTCTTTTCTGGGTTATGAAGACCCCTGTTTATAGTTGTGGGAGGGAAGAGTTATGATAAGAACAAACTCTTTCCGACCAATCAAATTGAAGTGTTTCAAGGCCGCATTTGATTGGCCAGAACATGTCACTTGCACACGTGGCGCGGTTTCATTGGCCTTTTAATGTGACTTGGCATGCCTTGTCATTTTGACACATGGCATGATCCTATTGGCTCTTCCGTTTGACTTGGCGTGCCGCGTCATTTGACACGTGGCACAAAATTGGGCCTCTAGGAAGATGACATCTTGGACTTAATGAAGTGGGCTCATCACTTTAGCTCAATTAAATGGACTAGCCCAATGGATTAAGGCTTATTTATTTAATCCATATATATTGGGCTTATAATTAATCCAATTATATTAGTCCAATAAATTTATTTGAACTGATATATCTTGAATTTTAAAATATAGTTCCAATTATTTTACGAATTTAATTTCAATAAAATTTATATGCCTACACACATGTCCGAAACAAATTAGGCATTCCCTGAAATTTTAGAGTACCATTTTTAGGATCATTCGAAACCAAATTGCCACTTTTATAATCAAGCAACATCTCTCCATTCTTTAAAAGGCATAGAACCTTTACCAATGGCTGCAACAAATGTTGAGTAACAGAATTTGCAGTTGGTGTGTAAGCTCTAATTGTGAACTCCTTCATCTAAGATTCTTTCACATTGTATTCTTTCATTACCCAAATTTCCATTCCTCCACCATTTTGGATAGGCAAAGTTAGAGCAACAGCAAGACAATCTCCAAGAACTGCGAGATGAAACTTCTTAATTCTTGTATTGACACCTAAATCAAACCTTTGAATTTTTCACCACAGTTTAGTATTTAAATAATTTTAAGTTTAATCTTGATGTTTTAGCTTTTATTTCACCGTTTTTATAAGTCTTATTTATGAAAATTGAAAAATACAAAAAAAAAATATTTATTTTTAGAGTAGTACTAATTTTTTATTCTTACAAAAGAAAGAAAAAAGTTTCAAAAATACATTTTTTTCATCTAGTCTAGTTTAATTTTCAATTTAAAGGTTTTAATAAGTGAATATTGAGTAAGTATTAGTATCTTGCTAGTTTGATTTAGCAGGAGTGGATTTTATTTTTTGTATTGTTTCACATTTCAAAAAGAAAACTAAAAAATATAACTATAAGAGCTAATTGGCACTTCCTTTTTTGTCTTCTTCCTAAAAGTCCTATTAATTGATTCAGAAGATCTCATAATCTTTAAACATACAATGAAAATCAACATCTTCTTCTGTATGTTACACAGAGAACTATTTTACAAAACAAAGCAACATACTAGGATGAAAAACAAGGGAAATGACTTTAAAAGGAAACAGAACTACTATATGCTTAAACAACGGGAAGGTATCTAATAAGTTTGATGATCTAATTAGAAGGTGGGATATCAATCCAATTAAGGCAACCCATATGAACACATGTCTGAAACAAATTAGGCATTCCCTGAAATTTTAGAGTCCTAAAAATACTATTTTTAGGATCATATGAAACCAAATTGCCACCTTTATACTCAAGCAAGATCTCTCCATTCTTCAAAAGGCATAGAACTTTTACCAATGGCTGCAAATGTTGAGTGACAGCATTTGGAGTTGGTGTATAAACCCCAATTATGAACTCCTTCACCCATGACTCTTTCACATTGTATTCTTTCATTACCCAAATTTCTATTCCTCCGCCTTTTTGGTGAGGCAAAGTTAGAGCGGCAGCAAGACAATCTCCAATAACTGCTAGATGAAACTTCTTAATTCTTGTATTGACACCTAAATCAACCTTTGGAACTTCAGCAAATACCTCATCAGCTAAATCAAAGGAAACGATGAGCCTGTCACGACGTCCATTATACTTACCAAATTGAGTCAACCAATGCATCTTCCCGTTCAACATAATTCCTTGAGAACTTGGATCAAACTGATAAACAACTTCTCCAACACTTCTCCATCTGTTGCTACCAAGACTAAATATTTGAACATCTGATTTACCAAAGTGGGGAGGTCGATACCCACGATAGCGCCATGAGACATGATTATACATATTGGCATAACTTATAATCTTGATCACCTTGTACTCTTTGGTAATAGGATGAAAACCAAATCCAAGAACCAATTTTTGCACCTCAAATTCTACTGATTTGGGCAGCTCTTTGTAGTCCCTTGTAAAAGGATTGCACACATAAAGTTCATTACTAAACAGAGAATGACATATGCACAATAGTCCATGGCATGAACCAACCACTTTAAATTCAGGCACAGAGTTTGCAAAAGGGGTGCTGAATTTCTTCACAACCTCTTCCTTACCATGATCAGAAAATTCAAGAAAGTAGAGCTGATTCTTTAAAGGATAATCCGCGTGAAAAATAACGCAAGGATCGTCCTTTACTGCACGAGACAGGTGCAGATTCACAAGCTCTTTATCATGTAACAAGTTGTAAAATAACTTGCAAGAAAACTTGAATTGGACTAAAGATGTTATGGGGAGCCTGGAAACTATGTCAAGAACAATTTCTTGAGGTAGGCTATTAAATCCATATCTAGGGTGAGTTTGATCAAGCTGATACTTCCGTTTCTTGGTTTGTCTGTCCATGACACAAAGAAAAATGGGTAGAGAAAGATTAAGTAGAAAGGCTTGGAAATGGGGGAAGTTGTGCCGATTAAACAACTTGGAGGCGTGGAAACTCAGGAACTCTTGTAATAAATTACACAAAGAAAGTAGTATATTCTTTTGGACGGCTAAACTTATCTATTTTGATGATTACACCAATTCAGCAGACGGCAAGGCCATATTTGCCCCACATATTAGGGTATTAAATAGTGTTTCAATTTAGATAAACACTTTCCATATTAGTTCGTTCTACTACTAGAAATTCGATCAAAATCGACCGCGGCCAACCGACCAACTTCGGTCGGTCAAAAAACTGACCGAAAAATAGAGCGAAGTTGGTCGGTTTTTCAAAATATTTTATTTTTTAATTTTTTTTTACGAAACCGACCGACTTCGGATAGTTTTTTGGCGCCAAAATGCGGGAAACTATTTTAGCATCCCGCAAAATTAACTTTTTAAGAAACCGACTGAAATCGGTCGGATTTTCATATAAAATAAATTAAAATTAATATTCAAAAAACCGATCGAAAACAGTCGGTTATTTCAGTCAGTTATTTTTAAAAATCGACCGACTTTAGTCGGTAATTTTTGCGCGAAAATGCAATTAAAGAGTACAAATAAATTAAAAAAAGTCTTAAACCAAAATGTACCAATAGTCTAGTGGTAGAATAGTATTCTGCCACAATACACACTCTGGTTCGAGTCCCATACGCTGTATTTTTTAATTGCATAATTAAAAATACCGACCGACTTCGGTCGGTTTTTCCAGCAGATTTTTTTTTTGGGTCGTTTGTGAAAAATAATTTACCGACCGAAATTGGTCGGAAATTGCGACCAACTTCGATCGCTTTTTTTTACCGACCAACTTATTTTCGACGGATTAAAGTCGGTCGAAAATCGGTCGATTTTTTCAGTTTTCCGACCTATTTCGGTCGGTATTTCTAAACGGCTTTAGGCAGTTTTCTAGTAGTGTTCCAAAAAATGATACATTTCTATAATTGGAAATAATTCAACTTTAAGCTCCTTATTTTATCCATTTTACCCTTAATGAGAAGTTTTTATAACGAGACAAATGTCATGGCCCCTTAAGCTTTTAAAACCAAAAGTTTCAAAAGTATTTTTTTTTCTTAAACTTCATGCTGAGTCAAACTACCTTATCTAAATTGAAACGGAGGGAGCATAAGTAGTGATATATATATACCAATACTATTTACCCTCACCCTTACGCGTTTAAACATATTTAACACCCCCAATCTAATTGACTCTTGGACCCAGCCTTCCCACAACTACATGTAGCTTCATTTTAAGTCCCCGACCCTTTTTCTTTTTCCTGTTTTCTTAAAGCCCTAGCTTAAATCTTAATACTCATATGACTAACCCAAGATCCAATCTAAGAATTGGAAACAAGTTTATTTCTAAATATGAAAATAGCACACGCTTGTAACGATCTGACTGGTCGTTTTACGTATTTGAGCTCTATTTCTCCTTTTGAAGCTCCCGTGTGTGTATTTATGGTTATGTGACTTGCGGGGTGGTTGATTTGGTTCCGAGAATATTTTGGATTGATTTGGAACAATTGATTCTTAGTTTGGAAGATTAAGTTGGGAATGTTAACCGAGATTTGACTTTTGTAAAAATGACTCCAAAATAGTATTTTGATGGTTCAAATAGATTCTTATGGTAATTTTGGACTTAGGTGTATGTCTAAAATTTGATACGGAGGTTCCGAGGTTGATTTGGCTCTTTTAGCTGCAAGTTGACAATTTGAAGGTTTAGAAATTTTTTAAGTTTAACCATGGGTTGACTTTGTGTCTATCAGGTCGTATTTCGGTTAAGGACTTATAATCAGTCTGTTTTTTCATTTAAGACTTGTGTGCAAAGTTTGGTGGCATTCCAAGTTGGTTTAGTGGGAATCAGATACTTGGTTGTGATTTTAGCGATTCTTGAGTTTCATTATGAATTCTATGCGTGTTGGGGTTAGATTCATAGTTCCAGACGATATTTGGGGCTCGCGAGCGAGTTCGTATAATGTTTCTATACTTGTGCAGATATTTGGTGTGGAGCCTCGAGGGATCAGGAGAGTTTCAGATGGTTCCAGAGTGTTTTGTTAGGTTGAGATTTGTTGGTGCTTTGGCTGATGCTGCAGGTCTCGCAAATTTGAGAACCTGTCCGCATTTGCGAATCTCGCAATTGCAAGGAGGGGATCATATTTTCTAGGTAGGTTGGGGCTGAAATGTTTGCTTCTGCGAACAATACGATCACATTGCGAAGGGGCACCTGGCTGGGATAATCGCATTTGCGATTGCATTGTCGCTTTTGCGATGGTTATGGCTTCGCATTTGTGAAGAGGGTGTCGTATATGCGATATTTACTAGGATTGACAAGGTTTGGTTTTGCGGTCTCTATATCACATTTGCGGAGGTCGCATTTTCGAAGGTCACATTTGCGACCAGACTGCAGCTGGGTTTAAGGTTGGGCTTTCGGGACGTAGTCTCATTTTATTACATTTTGAGCCCTAGACTTGGTGGGAAGCAACTATTGGATGGGATTTTCATATCTAGCTATTGGGTAAGTGATTTTGACTCAATTTCAATATTTTAACTTGATTTCTTATGGACTTTAACATTACAATCGTGGGATTTTAAGGAATTTTTAGGGGATTTTGACTATGTTATGAAAAATAAAAATTTAAGATTTGAGAGTCGCATTTGGACTCGAATTTGAAAACTAATCATATATTTGGACTTGTGGTCATATGGGAAGTTGAGATCTACCTTTTGACTCGGATTTTAACCAGACGAGCTCGGGGTAGACTTTTTGAGAAATGTGTAAAGATCTTAACTTTATTAATCGGAGTTGGTTTCTCTTGCATTGTTTGATATTATCGTTTATGGTTAGATTTTGAGTAGATGATGGTAGGCTAGAAACCCGTATTTTAGTCTTAGTTTGTACTTTAATTATTGTATTTTACTTTTATTTGAGCTTAAATATTAGTGAATTGCACTTATTATGTGCTTTATGCCTTGCAGGAAGTGATTCCGAGTTAAAAGGATAATCGAGAGCTAAATCAAAAATGTTTGAGCTTTAAATTCTGAGTCAAAGTATAAGGGATTAAACCAAGATCGTGTTCGGGGGTCGAGAGCCAAGTCTGTATGTCAAAACATGAAGAAAATGAAATAATCTAGAAAAATTACAGTCGCATCGCATGGGGCAGCGCGACTTTAAGAAATAGGTATGGAGAAGACATGCCAAAGTACTTGGGACCATTCTCCGAGCAAACTCCATGTTACTTGACATGTGAGTTCCCAGGTGACTACGAGTGGGACATTGCTGGACTCTCAGCTGACCCTCAGACATTCGTTAGGAACCGTGAATTTGAGGTAATCCATTGTCGTTGGGCCATGCTTGGTGCTTTGGGTTGTGTTTTCCCTGAAATCATTTCCAAGCATGGAATTAAATTCGGTGAGATAGTTTGGTTCAAGGCTGGATCTCAGATTTTCTCATAAGGTGGTCTTGACTACTTTGGTAACCTAAATCTAATCCATGCACAAAGTATTCTTACCATTTGAGCAACCCAAGTTGTGCTCATGGGCTTAGTTGAAGGATACAAAGTTGGTGGAGGCCCACTTGATGAAGGTCTTGACAAGATCTATCCCAGATGAGCTTTTGACCCTCTTGGCCTAGCTGATGATCCAGAGGCATTTGCTGAGTTGAAGGTGAAAGAAATCAAGAACGGCCGATTGGCTACGTTCTCAATGTTTAATTTCTTTGTTCAAGCTATTGACACAAGAAATGGATCATGTAACGACCCACCCAGTCATTTTGAGCATTTGCATTCCGTTCAGCTATTTGAAGTCTTGAACAACATCGTATGATGTATCATAACTTGTATGTATCGTCGATTTTGGTTCTCAGGTGTTTTGAAATTAGTTTGGAAGAAGGAATTTCATGTTTGAAGTTTTAAGTTGGAAGAGTTGACGAAGTTTGACTTTTGAGTATTTGACCCCAGATCAGAGTTTTGATGGTTCCCTTAGGTCCGAATGGTGATTTTGGACTCGGACGTATGCCAGGATTTGCATTTGGATATTTCTAGAAGGTTTCGGCACTAATTGGCGAAAGTTGAAAATTTGAAGATTTGAAATGTTCATAAGTTTGGCTGGGAGTTGACTTTGACGATGTCGAGCTCGGATTGTGGTTCCAGGAATTGAAATATCTTCGTTATGTCATTTAGGACTTGTGTGCAAAATTTGAGTCAATTCCGGGTTGATTTGATATGTTTCGGCACGAGTTTTGTAAGTTGAAAGTTCAAAAGTTCATTAAGTTTGATTTGAGGTGTGATTCATCGTTTCGATATTGTTGTGCGTGATTTAAGGCCTCGAGTGGTCCTTGTTATGTTGTGGAACTTGTTGATATATTTGGATGGAGTCTCGAGAGGCTTGGGTGAGTTTCGGGCGATATTCAGATCGTTTTGGATCATTTTGGCTAAGGCTGGTTTGGCAGGGGTTCTAGTGTAACCGCACATGCGGAGCTATAGGCGCAGATGCGGAACCACAAAAGCGGCAGTGGCATCGCAGAAGCGAAGAGTGCTGTTGGGAGCAAGAGACCACAAATGCGGAGTTTTCTTCGCATCTGCGAAGGTGCATATGCGGTATGTTTGGGCTTAGAAGCGAAGGTCAGCGCAGATGCGTGAATTTCTGTTTGCACCTGTGTTTGCGCAAGAGCGCAGAAGCGGCTATTGTTTCGCAAATGCGAAAATGCCTGGGCAGACTATATTTAATTCGAGATTTTGGTTCTTCTATTATATTTGGAGCTATGGAGCTCGGATTGAGACGGTTGTTTTAGCGATTTTCACCATATGGATTGGGGGTAAGTGTTCTCTACTCGATTTTGTATTATAATTCATGAATCTATCTTCCTTTTTGGCATTTGATTAAGGATTTCAAGAGAGAAATTGGAGTTTTTTTGTCTAAAATTTCATAAAGTGAATTTTTGAGTTTTGAATATCGATTCGGAGTGGGATTTAAGTGAAACTAGTATGGTTGGACTCATAAGCTATTGGGTTGT